TGTTTGTGGGGCATAAGAGCACCCTCTTCCTCAATATTCCCTTCTACACACTTTTAATGAGCACTATTTTCACTTATTTACTAATCAGTAAACTCAAGGGTAGGTCTTGTCTGTTCCCAGAGATAAAGAACTGCAGGCAAAACTGGTCTTTATCGTGGAAGCACGGTTTCTCTTTGTTTTTCACAGTGTTTCTGAGAGATAAGAGGAAACCACCCACACATGATGCATGACTGAAGAGGTTTTGAAATATAAACTCATTCTCTCTTCTGAACTGTGGATTAGGGATGGAAAGAATGGGACAGTGCACCACATATTAACATAAGTTGATTTTTCCTCTGGGTTAAAAACAAACAGGTGAACTCATACACACACAGAAAGAGGGAGAGATATGTGATTAAATGTTCAATTGAGGAAACAGTAAGCCAGTTTTCAATTATTGGTACAATAGTCAAACAAGGAGAATTTTAGTAATTCAAATGGGTACATACTCTCAAAATTCACTGACCTTTTCCTATCACAAAAACTGCCTCTGTCACATGGATTCAAGACCAATATTGGCATATAAGACCTAAGTTCATTTAAAGAGCCAGATATATTCCAAGGAAAATATGGGATGGGACCCGATTAGATTCCTATTAATTTCATGCCATTCAAGGCTTTCAGCAGGTTTTTGAGAGTGAGCCAGAATGTAGAGTTTTTGCCATGAAACCAGTGATGCCAGACATTAAGTACCGTAAGATTAAATGTAAGATCAGTTGGTGCCGATAAAGGCCTAAAGAGTAAGGTGTTTTTAATACCAAATGAAAATGTTGACAGCAATTTGAATAGATGCAGAGCAGGAAATCATTTAGGAGAAATTTGTTGTTCAGCTAAGGAGCGACCTGAGGTTGAGCCCAGAAATGTTTCTGGGAATGCATGGGAAGGTAAGGTGTTTTAGGCAGAAAGGAAGAGTAAACCTAAGAGACAAAATACATAGGTAATAAAAGGAAAATTTAAGTTAAAAGCCATGCCATAATTGTTTCTGAGAAACCAGTTAGAAACTAAGAAGACAGTAAAGTCTTTGTGAAGCTGAGCAGTGTGTTATTGTCCGTGCACCATGCTCTGCATTGGTTTCTTTTCACCCCTAGGCTCATGAACTTTAATTGCTCTATTGTAGTCTTTTGTCTATTTCTCGTCTCCTGTGCTGGATAATAAGTTTCCTATAGGGAAAAAATATGTCCCAGGCTGTCTAGAAATTCCTCCACAGTGTGTGGTACAGGGCCTTACTGGAATAGTAGCTCAGTAAATGTTAATTTGCAGAATTAATTAATGAACAGCTTTCTCCTTATGTAATGATTTTTTTTCCAAATTAAGTGCTAGATTTTAGGAAGCTAAAATCTGGATTATATTTTACCCTTCTAATGGGTAAATCAGAGGATCAAGTTATGAGTTAAGAAGCCAATAGTGTTGTATAGTTTTCTGTATACAGGTCTTTTATGTCCTTGGCTGGGTTTATTCCTACATATTTTATTTTTCTTTTTGTTATATTGAATGGGATTTTTTTTCTTGATTTCTGCTTCTGCTGTTTCATTGTTGGTATACAAAAATGCCTTCGATTTCTGGATATTGACTTTGTAACCTGCTGTTTTGCCAAATTCATTTATTAGGTTGAGCAGTTTTGGGGTAGAGTCTATAGGATTTTCCATGTACACTATCATGTCATCTGCAATCATAAACAAAGCAACAAACAACAAGTGTTAGAGAGGTTGTGGAGAAAAGGGGACCCTAGTTCACTGTTGCAGACTGGTACAACCACTGTGGAAAACACTATGGAATTTTCTAAAAAAAACTAAAAATGGACCTGCCTTTTGATCCAGCAATTCCACTGCTGGGATTATATCCTAAGAACCCAGAAACACCAATCCAAAAGAACCTATGCTCCACAATGTTCATAGCAGCACAATTTACAATAGCCAAGAGTTGGAAGCAACCTAGGTGCCCATCAGTAAATGAATGGATCAAAAAATTGTGGTACATATACACAATGGAATTCTATGCAGCAGAGAGAAAGAAGGATGTACTACCCTTTGCAACAGCATGGATGGAACTGGAAAGCATTATGCTGAGTGAAATAGGCCAGGTGTTGAAAGACAAATACCATATGATCTCACCTTTAACAGGAAGCTAAACAACAAAACAAACAAGCAAGCAGAATAAAAACAAAGACACTGAAATAGAGAACAAGGGAACAGTGATCAGAGGGGAGAGGGGAGGGAATTTCAGGGAAAAAGGGGGAAGGATTTACAGGAACTAGTATAAAGGACACATGGACAACAACTAAGGAGGGTGGAAATGGGAGGGAGGTGGGGAGCACTGGGGGTGGGCTGGGATGGGAGTAAAAAACAGAAAACTGTACATGAACAATAATTAAATATATTTTAAAAAATAAAAATAAATTTACAAAAGAAGCCATTAGTACTTCATTTCAAAAGGAATTAGTGAGTTTAGTGGCAGATAACAGGTAAGAAAATTGGATGCCTTAGGAGAGAGGGCCAAAACCAATGAATTGTTAACTTGATCCCAGATTCAATCAGGCCAAGGCTGGAATTTAGGTGATGTGTGTGTGTGTGTGTGTGTGTGTGTGTGTGTGTGTGTGTGTGTGTGTTTGTGTGTGTGTTTCTCTGATTGGTTCTTTTCTTGTACAGGTCTGCCTTTTGGGAAGATTGACTTTATGAGAGCAGAGCTCTTGTCTATCTTGTCCACTGTTGTATCTCCAGCATCTATAAAAGACTTTCCTGGCATATAGTAGGGGTTTAAGAAATAATTGTGGAAGGAGAAGAAAGAAGGATGGAGGGGTGAGTTTAGAGAAGGAATAAAGGAAAGAGGGGAGAGAGGGCTCTGATTTTCATGCCAGTAAACATGGCACTTACTCATCAATTACCAAAGGCTCTCTTAGTTTCTGTGTTAGAAACCAAGGATGCCAAAATGATGAGATGCCATTGTCTGTGTCTTCAAATAACTGATTGTTTCATAGAGAAAATCATAATACACCAGGTTGTAAGTGCTACACCAAGGATTGGTGGTGATACAAGGGTGTGCTAAAGTGATCATCTGATCTACCCAGAGGAGGAGGAGGAGGCAGAAAACATCACAAACCTGAGCATAATCCTAATAAATTCAGTAATACTTCATAGGCTTCAGAACATTTTAGTCTCTGTAGTCCTAAAAATGACTGTGGATAGATTGAATAAAATATTGACAAATGCAGATCATTGCATTTTAGCTATTCTCTATGCAGAATCATTGTGATATTTAAAGTGATTTTGCCTTGTCCCCTAGAGCAAGGAATGTAAAGGAAAAAATAAACAAATGGGATCTCATCAAAATAAAAAGCTTCTGTGTGGCTAAAGAAAACAGTATTAAATTATCAAGACAACCAACTGTATGGGAAAACATATTTGCCAATGATACCTCAGACAAAGGTTTAATCTCCAAAATATACAAAGAACTTACACGACTCCACTCTAAGAAGACACCCAACCCAATTAGAAAATGGGAAAAGGACTTGAACAGACACTTCTCCAAGGAGGACATACAGAACATTCAGAGACACATGAAGAGATGCTCAATATCGTTAGCTATCAGAGAGATGCAAGTTAAAACCACAATGAGATACCACTTTACACCAGTCAGGATGGCTATCATAAACAAAGCAACAAACAACAAATGTTGGAGAGGTTGTGGGGAAAAGGGGTCCTTAGTTCACTGTTGGTGGGATTGCAGACTGGTACAACCATTATGGAAAACAGTATGGAATTTTCTCAGAAAAATAAAAATCGACCTGTCTTTTGACCCAGCAATTCCACTGCTGGGATTATATCCTAAGAATCCTAAAACATCAATATCAAAGAATCTATGCACCACAATGTTCATAGCAGCACAATTTACAATAGCCAAGAGTTGGAAGCAACCTAGGTGCCCATCAGTAAATGAATGGATCAAAAAATTGTGGTACATACACACAATGGAATTCTATGCTGCAGAGAGAAAGAAGGAGCTACTACCTTTTGCAGCAACATGGATGGAACTGGAAAGCATTATGCTGAGTGAAATAGGCCAGGTGCTGAAAGACAAATACCATATAATCTCACCTTTAACAGGAAGCTAAACAACAAAACAAACAAGCAAGCAGAAAAAAAAAACAAAGACACTGAAATAGAGAACAAGGGGATAGTGACCAGAGGGGAGAAGGAAGGGAAGTTAAGGGGAAAAAGGGGGAGGGATTTGGAGGAACAAATAGGAAGGACACAGGGATGAGAACTAAGGGGGGTGGAAATGGGAGGGAGGTGGGGAGCAAGGGGTGGGGAAGGCTGGGATGGGAAAAATAGACAAAAAACTGTACTTGAAAAATAACTAAATAAAATTAATTAAAAAATTTATCGGGGTGACATTGGATAATAAAATTATATATTTTCAAGTGTAAAAAAAAATAAAGTGATTTTGCCTTGGTATTTATTGGACTTTAGTTTCATTCAGGAATGCCCAAGATTACAAGTGAGCCTATCATGCAGCAGCTTGTCATAGAGTTGTGGTTTTATGAGCACTGTCGAAAGACACAAATTGAAGACCCATTGTCTGGGCCAGACCTGCGCTGTACACCAGGAGTGACAGATCTGTTAAGCACAATCAATTAGGACCAGTGTTTGTTCCTTTCTGAACAATTTCTTGTTCCTGTGACAAGGATTAATGATATGACAACTGTAATGTGGACTGTGCATTTTATAAAAGCCTGTAGTAGTAAAGGCATGCATTTCCCATCAAAACAGCAAATTTTCTGAAGAAGGTAGAAAAATGACAGGGAGAGAATCAGTGGTTTAAAAAAAACTTATGGTTGGTGAAACTTATTTACACCTAGGAAAAGGATTTAGGGGATATGCTGACGGACTTTTTAGGCAAGAAAACCCAGTGTGTGAGGAAAACAGATCCTGATTTGACTTCTGCTTCTTGATTTTCTTACTCAGGTGCTGACTCCAGCACAGATCAAATCAATTTGTCAAGCAATTCTCGACTCTGGGAAGCAGTATGCCATGAAAAAGAGGAAACCATTTCCCCTGATGTATTCTTACTATGGAACTGAATATTTGGGTGAGTGAATGTGCTGGTGAGGGATGAAGAGAATTTCTAATATTGGCATTAACTACAGACTGGAAGATTTGTTTTTGAAGTAGGTCATCACTATTCATTTAACTAGAAGTACATTAAAATGCCATTAAATATTGATAGATAATACAAATTACAAAATATTTATTTTCACAGTCTATCTGATAGAAATGTAGCTATTTTAACAATTACTTTGCTCACTCTAAATTTTGAGTTCATTGGCCCAATTTTGCTGAGTTTGTGAACAGTTTGCATGCTCACTATTAGTAGTGTGCCTGCAAAGGGAAACAGGATTTGACTACTAGCATTCTCAAGTTTTAATATTAGTGGATCAATAATAGATTGCTGAATAAAACAATGGCAACTTTTGAGCTATGAGGCACATAAAGTGAAAATTAATTACTCCCCTTACCTCTGAGCATGATTTACAAGGCCCTTTATAGATCACCTGATTCCTTCTCTGAACTAAACTTTATCTCCTCCCCTGGATGGTCCTGTCCAGCACAGTCTTCTCCAAGCAAAATGTTCTCATATCTTTGTAACTGTTGAGCCTGTTCTTTTTGCCTCAAATGTCTGGCTTCCCCCAACCCTTTCCTTCATCTATCTGTAATACTTATACCCAGACTTCAAGACTCTGCTTAAACATCATTAGATCTATTGAGAAATTTTGTGCTTTGGAAAAATGAGTTTATTGAATACTCTGTGGAGAAATGTTCACATGGTTCAGGTTTTTCCCTGAAGCAAAATTGGGTTGTATCCTGTTACCCTGCCACACGTCTATCAGAGCCCTTATCCCTTATCACATTGGGCTGTATTAGTGGCTTACCTGTCCAAGTACTTTAATGGGCTCTGTGCACCTTCCAGATAAAGCCTTTATCTCATTTATCTTAGTGCTCTCCGGATCTTTAGCAAGAGCCTAAATATATTGAGAGTACACAAATGAATGAATGAATGCTTCATGAATAATGAGCTTATAGACAAGCAATTCCCTGAGAGTTTTCTCAAAGAAATTTTAAGTTCCTGTCTAACTTTTCTTGAAATCATACCTTTTTTGGCTAATATTTTAATTTTATGTTTTCCACATTTTTATTGTTGTTCAAGTACAGTTCTCTCCATTTTCCCCCAACCCTCCCCTCCATCCTAGCCATTCCTACCTCCCACCCTCCATCCTACCCCCCTTTGGCTTTGTCAGTGGGTCTTTCATACATGTTCCTTGACAACCCTTCCCCCTATTACTCCCATTATCCACTCCCACCTCCTCTGGTTGCTGTCAGTTTGTTCTTTATTTCAGTGTCTCTGATTATATTTTGCTTGCTTGTTTGTTTTGCAGGCTGTCACTGAATCCACTGAACCACACCAGCCAGGGCTTAGAATCAGACCTTAAGAGAAAGTATAAATGGTTTATTTAGGAGATGATCTGAGACAGCATTGATAGAAGAATGAGTAATTGAGTAAGGGTAGAGAAAGAAGTTAATAGAGGATGTAGTAATGAGCAATTGTGGATAGTTGAGGCTCAGTTCCACTGGAGATTCTTAGAGATTGTATAGAACATGTATCAGAATTGTCCCACTGAAAGGATAAGAAAGCTGGGGTATTCATTCACCAACTCCCTGCTTCCATGGGTAAAGAAGGGATTTTTCTGTTTTGTTCACTGATCTATCTTCAGCCTCTAACAGTATCTGGCACATAGTAGGTATTTAATTCTTATGTTTTGAATGAATGTGTGAATGAATGAATGTTTAGAATACCAAGAGTAAGTTATTTTCAAGCACTTTAAGTGTATGTCCATAAAAGCTATCAATATGTTAATTATAAAGTTTTCAAAAAATATTTCCCCTAAAATAGGGGTTGATTACTAAACTTTTTAAAATAAAGGAATAAGTAATACATATTTTAGGTTTCTTGGTCCCTGTGGTTTCTATCACATAAACAACTCTGCTATTGTAGCACAAAAGCAGCCATAGACAATAGACTAATGAATGAGCAAGGTCGTGTTTCAATAAAACTTGATTTACAAAGACAGGCAGTGAGCCAAATTTGGCCTTAGTTTGGTTATAATTTACCCACCCCTGTTCTAACCTATGTTCCCCAGAAGCCTAGTTCTCTGGCAGCTCAACTATTATATCACTGTGTACTTCCAAGTAATATTGCCATTCTTTTTATTTATGCTATGATTGTCTTTTCACTAAATTAAACTGGCTGTCTTCCCAATTGTGTGAGTTAATTCTGCTTTGTTTGTCAATATAGGAGCAGCTCATGGTCTGTCATCCATTCTCCAGATGCTTCTTTCTTACTATGAGCACATCAAGCCCTCAGATCAGGAGCTGGTATGGCAGAGTGTGGACTTCCTCATGGAACAGGAACAAAACTGCAACTGGCCACCTGAGCTTGGCGAGGCCATTGAGAGAGAAAATGAGCTGGTGCACTGGTGCCACGGTGCCCCAGGTATACTCATTATTATCTGAAAACATTGCCTTTCATCAGGCTTAGTCAAAGAAAGGTGCCTTTTCTGAGAAGTGAGGGTATTTCTCATATCATTACTACATGAGATAAAAAGGCCAATATGACAATTTTTAAAAGATTTTATTTATTTATTTTTAGAGGGAGGGGAAGGAAGGGAGAAAGAGAGGGAGAGAAACATCAATATGCGGTTGTCTCTCATGCGACCCCTGCTGGGGACCTGGCTTGCAACCCAGGCATGTGCCCTGACTGGGAATTGAACCAGCAACTCTTTGGTTCACAGGCCTGCACTCAATCTGCTGAGCCACAACAACCAAGGCTAAAATCTGTGTTTTAATAGGATCCCTGGGTGATTGGTATGCACATTAAAGTTTGAGATGCACTGTTCTAGAATTCTTTTTTAAATGAGGATTTCCATCATCACCTAATTAAAAAAGTCTAGAGAAGAGGAGCCAGCTGCACTGAACTTTCTGGAGCTGAGCCTAGAAACTTATCAGATCCCGTCTTCTCCTTTTTTAAAACCTCCATTATACTGCTAATTAGGTCTTCGAAGAAGGAGAAAGTTAAATTCAAATAAATCAATTAATTTTGTTCTAAAGCCAGGTGAAAGATTTAAAATACAAAAATAACACAAAATTTTTGTATTAGGAATGGATTTAAAGTTTCAAGGCTATGCCTCAATGGTATAAGCATAGCTATAAAATATATTTTTCTTTAGTTTACAGGTTTTTATTATTTTCCTCCCCCTCTTTACCTAATTAACGTTCTTTAATCAAACTATAATTTAATTTTTTCTTTGGTGCCATTTGAGTTGATTAACAATACAAGCTTTATTCCACTGGCCATTTTTTCTCTGCCTGACACACTTACCTAAGGAAGGGACTTCAAAGGCTCCTATGTGTGCTTGTACCAGTGCCAGAACATTGTGCATTATGTCTAGGCTAATTCCACCAGTTACAATTTGAGCTCATTTCTTACTGCTTTGAACTTTTTGAAGAAAAACAAGTTATTTACCATTCTGGAAATGATAGCTCTTCATTATATGCTCAACAATTCCATTTTCCATTCTCTTTCATCATTTTCAGTGATGATCTCTGGATATCCTTCAAGCACATAAGGATCCTTGAATTTTACAGATTTCCCAAGTTAAAATACAGAATATTTTAAAAGGACTTAGTTGTACCAGTAACAGCCCTATAAAGAAATGGAAGATAATTTACTAAAATGAGTGGGTCAGTTAATTGATGTGGGTGTCTTAAAGGGCACTTATTCCATCCTTTTTTGTACCCCATACTCCATCTGTCTTCATAAATCACGTACCATAACAATACAGCAAAGGATTCATCACCTTGGGAACTTTATCCTCATGTATCATTCATGTTCAGTATCTTGGTAAGATTAAATACAGGTTGCAAAGAAAAATCATTCAACCCGTGTATTCACTGGACTACCAAAAATAAACCAATTTACAAATGCATAAACAACCAAATGGAGCTCATTATTTCTGCCAATCTGCACTCCCACCTCAAGGGTATTGACCTTCCTTTTAAGAGACCTGCTAGAAACAGCATCAAGTATGATTATAAGTCTGATAAGTACAGGTCAAAGACCATCATGATTTCTTTGAAGATGACAGCAAACTCTCAAAAATTATAAACAAAAGATGATCTAGAAAAATGATTTTCACTTTTTGAGGAAAATATTTTTCAAGAGTAGATTTATGAACAGTGCAGATGGTTTGGAACAGCAGATTGATTCTGTGATTAAAAACCTGCCACAGACAATCTGCAGTGTGGAACTTCATCAATGATACTTTATTTCCTCCTATAATTGTTTCCTATTGACTTTCTTTCAACCCACTTCTACAGGCGATCACCTTAGTAGTTTTCATTTATAAAGTGTAGAAATAGTTCTTAAATCTAAGTTAAAATAACAACATTGGGTTCTATTTGTAGCTCTGAAAGTAACCACTTATGTGACCTTGAAAAAACCACTTTGTTTATTTTGTCTTTATTTCTTCATTTTTGAAAAGAGCCCATTGAAATGGAGTAGTGACACTCAATATTTTTACCACAACAGACCCCTTTTATTCTGTGCACCTTTGTCATCTCTGAGGGATATATCCCAAAAGATTTGCAGACATACTCATATATAAATACCCAGTGAGTTGTATAGTTTTTATCACTAAATGCAAGGAAGTATAGCGGGCAAATTCATATGACTTCATCATAGCCTTAATGATTCTGAAATACAGAATAAAAGTCACCTAAAAGTCATGAAAACAAATGCTATAGCTAAAATAAAGTTTATATTGCATTATGTTACATCATCGCTATGGTAACACTGTGCATTTCCTTTCCTCTGTGTGAAACACAGGTGTGTCTGGGTTTTTTAAAATAATTTCACAAAAGCTCACCTGAGTTCTTCCTCCTATTCCTCCCTCCCCCAGTCTTCCATGGAACTGGTCTGTAGTGCAAAAAGTTTGGGGACCACTGCTATAGATGACCATTATCAGGGGTTGACTAGAAACCATTGGCTGAAGAGATCTTGTTATGTGTTAATCATAGGAAGTGTTAAAGGATAAATATTAAGAGAATAAAGTCATGAGTCTTAGACAAATATAAAATAAACATATGAATTATTTATTTGCTCATTAATTAACAAGGGATCCAGAAAAGTGTTACAACTGGTTCAAAAGAAAATCCAAAGAGCAGACATATTTATAGGCCATTAAGAATGCTGACATAAATTTGCTCAGTAGATGCAAAACCTGATGCTTCCTTCCACAAAGGTTGAGGGATATCAATCCAACCTCTATCAAACAGAAAGTGAGTTTCTAGGGACAGAAACTCTTTAAATTACTATCAATTTTCTAAACAGTAATCCTATTTCTACAGAGTTGTAAAAGAGCTTAGTCAAAGACAATGAAAGGCAGAGAAAACCTCAATGAGTTAAAGATACTAAATTCCAGTCTTTTCTACCTTATACAGGAGTAAGGTAGCCCATGTACAAGAGAGAGTAATCTTGAGAACTAGGTGATCTGAGAATGAACACCTAAAACTTGGGGGAAATGTTTCTATTAATCTATTAATAGTTGTTGCTTCTGTTATTCATATTCCTACCTATGTAATTGAGATGGCCTTTGTTGAGAAGCTTTGAAGGAAAATGTCTTTCCTTGGAACAATCAAATTGGGATGAACTCATTTCACAGCTGAAGCAGAAGTCTTGGCCAAGTCATTTGGGACCATTATACTTTTTGGCAGGACTCCCAGATTTGCTCTTAAGAAAAGGTGTATAGTTATAAGTACTTTAACATGATAAATTCTGAACCTTGGAGTGGGAGACAGAATAGGCAAACTATAAGCATTTAGCCATTCCAAATAGCCAGATATGCATAATGCTTACCAGAGTATGCATAGTTAAATATTAATTTTTTAATTATGGATTTTATCAAGCTCTGTACTTGTTGCTCTTTCTCCAGGGACCAACACCATAATACAACTCAAACAACTTAAATCTCACAGGAAAAAAATAAGACTCCCTTGCAGGAGATTCTATAGCTTTGCTATAGCCAAAATGTGGTCTCCAGCAGGACTCTTGTTAGAAATGTAGTATTTCAGGCCCTACCTCAGAACTACCAGACTAAAATGGATATTTTACCAATACACTGGTGATTTGTGAGCCTTTTACAGTTTGAGAAGTTCTGCTCTATAGTATTAAGCCCTAAAAGTCACCGCTAATATCTTTGATGTTCTCACAGGAATTGCCTATTTGTTTGCCAAAGCTTATCTCGTTTCCAAGAAACCACAGTACCTGGACACGTGTATCCGGTGTGGAGAGCTCACATGGCAGAAGGGCCTACTAAAGAAGGGGCCGGGAATTTGCCATGGTGTAGCTGGCAGTGCTTATGTCTTCCTGCTGCTATATCGGCTCACAGGAAACTCTAAATACATCTACCGAGCCCAAAGGTCAGCCATTCTTCACATATAATTTTTTCACAAATGTTTAACTAATGTTTTGAATAGGTAAGAATTACATAGTTTAAAAAGTGTAAAAATAAATACATTAACTATGCACTCTAAATGTATAACAGTACTATGTATATTGATTGCAACTTGTATTTTAAAGAAACAATTTAAAGAGACACCATTTTGCTTTATATAGATCTATCTCATAATTTTAATGACTATATAGTTATTTACTCTAGATGCACCATTATATTAATTTAATCAATCTATAAGCAATTGACAGTTGTACATGTTCAATATTTACTAACACAAACTAAATTGTCCTAAATATCCAGTACATACACCTATATGCCCCTGTGCAAGCATTTCTTATAAGAGAAATTTTAGAATTGAAGTCATTAGACACACAGGTATTCCTAGCCCATTTTTGCCCATTTTTTCTATTATGATGCTTATATCGACAATTGTAATTCTGTCAATATACACTCTAAATATTTTCCTACTTTGTCATTTTTCTTTCAACTAAGTTCATGGTCTTTCACTAGACAAAAAATTTAAGTATTTTTCTTGTCAAAGTTATTGAATTTTCAAGCTTTCTGGATTTTGTGTTTTGCTAAAAAGACCTTTCCTACTTTAAGATTGCAAAAAAGGGGGAGATATTTACATTGACTTTGAGTACCATTATGATTTTACATTTTAAATCTTTGATTATTCTAGAACTTACTATTTTTGTTTAATGCTGTCAGATGGATATCAGTCTTTGTGTTTTTTAAATAAAAGACAACACTACACTAACATCCGTTTACTGCTTACCCTAATAATTTGAAATCCCAGTTTTATCATAAACTGAATTTATATAAATGTATGGGTTTGTTTCTGGACTTTCTAGCTTTCATTATTTATGTATTTCTAATTTTTCTTAGCTGTACTCTCATCCTTCCAACTGTATTTTAGAATCAGCTTTTCAACTAAAAAAAAAACTCTATCCAATTTCACTGGAGTTTTAATGAATTTATAGCTTACATTAGTGAGAATTAACATCTTTAGAAAACTGAATTTTTCCATCCAGGAACATGCTATGTTGTCCCTTTATTTCCATTTTTAAAATACCATTTGGTAAAGTTTTGAACTTATGAAGAAGGTCATGTATATTTCTTGTTAATTTTATCCCTAGTATTTTATGTCCAGGTTTGTGAGTGGAATCTTTTCCTCCTCTGTATTTTAATTTATTATTGGTACTTATGAAAGTTTTTCAAAGCATACATATCACTGCAGTTTAGCACTCTAAGATGCAGTTCTTTCATATAAATCTGCTTTGCATCTTATAAACATCTTAATTTTGATGTGTTCTAATATATCTATCCAGCTTACTGAACTCTATTACTGTTTCTATGAAACTTACATTAGATTCCACTAGGTTTTCTAAATATACACTCATATTTTCTGCAAATAATTATAATTTTGTTACTTTCTCTTTTGTATACTCTTTTAAAAAAATTTCCTGTTTCATGGGTCAGAATCTTCAAAACAATGTTCAGTAATAAGAGGGATAGTGAACATCCTCACTTTTATACTGATTTCATTAGGAATGCTTTTCTGTTTCACATGATTTTTAAAATTTGCTTCCCATGGTGTTTATCATGTCAGATTATGACATGCCTCTACTAAGGATAATTCAGCGGTTTCCTATATGTCATAGTAAAAGCCAAAGTCTGTCCTTTGAATAAAAGGCCCTAAGCAGGGGTGTCCAACCTTTTGGCATCTCTGGGCCACACTGGAAGAAGAGTTGTCTTGGGCGACACATTAAATACATAAACCCTAATGAAAAATGATTAACCAAAAAAAAAGGTTTTAAGTAAATTAGCAATTTTGTGTTGAGCCACATTCATAGCCATCCTGGGTAGCATACACCCCACCCTGCGGCCTACAGGATTTTGCCTCCCTTTACCATTTTGATACCACCCCGTACTCTTTTTCTTGGTTCTTTCTACCATAGTAGCTTCCTTGTGATTTTGTTAGGATGCCAGCTACAATCTCTCTCAAGGCTTTTGAAGTTTTGGTTCTTTCCACCTGTAATGCTCACTTTTATGTACGTGTATATCTCCCAGTGCCTCAGTTCATTGAGACCTTCACTCAGAAGTCATTGCCTCAGAAAGGCTTTCCTAAGCCAACTTATATAATATTCAATGTTAAACATAAAATGTCACTTGTGATATTTGTGTGTGCAATGAAAAAAATACTACTATATGTAAATCCTCTTTTGAAACTCCACTGTGTAGGAATTCTGTTAATGTATTTTGATTCATGGCTCTCTAAACTGTTCAGGTTGCAACCTGACCCTTTATTTCTAGAAAAAGTAAGTCTTTTTTGAATTTATCTAGATTGATGCTATATCACCTTTGGGATGAACTTCAACATAGGTTGTCATGCTCTAGGAAGCATATTAAAAAGGGCCAGAACAACTTATTTTTCTGTCAGCCAGTTCTAGCTTACAGTCTTAGTTATAAGGTTCTGGAGTCCTGGGCCCTTTAGAAAACTTAAATTCCTCACAGTTACAGAATGAAAATTTTCAGGTAATATCTGAGTAGTATATGGGCATTGCATTTAAGTGCATAGAATACTAAAATTTCTACTTCATTATAATTCAAAATTAAATGAATTATTTGGTGGCACAAAGTGGGGGGACTTCCTTCATTTTGGCAATTACTAAGGCAATGATGTTAAACAATATATACCTCTCCAGAATAAACATTAATTGGTCATCCCCTGTTACTTTTAACATAGAGTTGGAATTGATGGTCCCAGAAAAATATTTGACAACCTTTTAAATTTCTTTTATGATTTCTTACTTTTTCAGATTTTCTATTTGTTCTTGAAATAATTTTTGAACTAAATGTATTTCTACAAAAGTGTCTTATCTGATTGGATTTTCAAATGTTTGAGGTAAAGCTGTAACTCTATAGTTCTATGATATTTTAAATCTTACATGTTTGTCCTTATATGCCTCCTAATATTTCTCCTTTTTGGTCAGACACACCAGCATTTTGTCTATGTTGTTCATGCTTTCAAGGAACTGGCTTCGGTTTTGTTTATTAATTCTTTGTTTTTCTCTTTTGCTTTCTAATTTATTTTCTGCCTATAATTTGACTTTCTACTGTTCCTTTCCTTTATTTTATTTTTAAATAGTTTAAAAGAATATTTAATTAGAATAACTTTCATCATCCTAATAAAAATAATAGTAACCAAAAACTCAAATCAATGAATTTTTGTGTGAGTTTAGTTGGTCATAACCACCAGTTTTTGATATATAATGATCTCAGTGTCTTTAGTTCTTTTTAGTTCTATAATTACCATCCTGAATTATATTTTGAAAAAATGTTTTAGAAAAATGAATTTACTAGTTTGAATTCTGCACCACTGGGTAAATTATTAGAAACAATCATTTTCATTTTAATATTAACATCCTATACAGGTCAGAATACAATGAAACTGTGACTTCCCTACATTGCTATTATGCTTCTAAATTGTTGTGATCATATATTATTTAGAAATTATTTTGAATAGCACAAAAATGTTCATCATATTATTTTAAGTAAAACAATGTAGGATACCAGATACTATACAGACTAATTTTAAAAATATAACAGATCAATTAAACTTAGGGAAAAACATTGGAAGAAGACAAAGCAAAATTAACTGTGGGTTTCTTTTAAAGTATGGTAGAATGGTTGCTTCTGTTTAACAAATACTCTGCTATAGTATGCTTATGTGAATAAATGAAATTTACCATGTATTGAATGCTTTCTATATGCTCAGAACTTAACATGTGGTATCTTTAATTATTACAGATAATTTTATGCAGTTCTGCAACTCACTATTTTAAACTCAGATTAAGAAATTTTCAAAATGTCATATAACATGAAATTATCGGAGTGGTTGGTTCCAACTTCAAAGTTCTTCCTCTTTCTACTACACCAGGGCTTCTTGTTTTTATCATTTTTTATTGTTGCTCAAATACAGTTGTTTCCATTTTCCAACCACCACTTTCTGCCACCTCTTCTACCCCCACCTCTCACCCTCCAACCTTATGCCCTTTAGCTTTGTCCATGGGTCCTTTATACATGTTTCTTGACGACCCTTTCCTTTCTTTCCCCATTATCTCTTCCCCCCCTCCCCTGTGGTTACTGTCAGTTTGCTCTATATTTCAATGTCTCTGGTTATATTTTGCTTGCTTATTTATTTTCTTGATTAGGTTCTACTTATAGGTAATATCATATAGTATTTGTCTTTCACCACCTGGCTTATTTCACTTAGCATAATGCTCTCCAGTTCCACCCATGATGTTGTGAAGGGTAGGAGCTCCTTGTTTCTTTCTGCTGCATAGTATTCAATTGTGTAAATGTACCACTGTTTTTTGATCCACTCATTTGCTGATAGGAACTTAGGTTGCTTCCAGCACTTGGCTGTTGTGAATTGTGCTGGTATGAACATTGAGGTGCATAGGTTCTTTAGAATTGGTGATTCAGGATTCTTAGAGTATAATCCCAACTGTGGAACTGCCAGGTCAAAGGAAGTTCCATTTTTAATTTTTTGAGGAAATGCCATACTGTTTTCCACAGTGGCTGCACTATTCCCTTTTCATTTTGCTGATGTTTTTTTTTTTTTAGCCATGCAGAAACTTTATTTTGATGAAGTCCCATTTGTTTATTCTTTCCTCTATGTCCCTTGCTCTAGAGGACACATTGGTGAAAATATTGCTGCGTGAAATATCTGAGATTTTCCTCCCTATGTTCACCTCCAGGACTTTTATGGTATCACAACTTATATTTAAGTCTTCTATCCATCTTGAGTTTATTTTTGTGTATGGTGTGAGTTGGTGGTTGAATTTCATTGTTTTGCATGTATCTGTCCAGATCTCCTCAGACAGTTTGTTGAAGAGGCTTTTTTTTTACTCCATTTTATGTTTCTGCCCCTTTTGCCAAATATTAATTGATCATAGAGACTTGGTTTTATTTCTGGGCTCTCTATTCTGTTCCATTGATCTATGTGTCTGTTCTTATGCCAGTACCAGACTGTTTTGATTACCGTAGCCTTGTAATATAGTTTGATGCAAGGTATTGTGATCCCTCCTACTTTGCTCTTCTTTGCCAAATTTCTGTGGCCATTTGCAGTCATTTATGGTTTCATATAAATTTTTGCAATGTTTGTTCTGCATCTGTGAAATATGTCATTGGCACTTTAATAGAGATTGCATTGAATCTATAAATTGCTTTGGGTAGTATGGGCATTTTGGTGATGTTAATTCTTCCATTCCATGAATATAGTGTATGCTTCCATTTATTTGTGTCTTCCCTAATTACTTATCTCTGTGTTGTGAAGTTTTCTGAGTAAAGGTCTTTTACCTCCTTGGTAAGGTTTATTCCTAGGTAGTTTATTTTTCTTGTTGCTATAGAAAATGTAATTTTTTCCTGATTCCTGTTTCTGATACTTCATTGTTAGTGTACAAAAATGCCTTTGATTTCTGAATATTGACTTTGTGTCCTGCTGCTTTGCCAAATTCACTTATTAGGTCGTGTAGGTTTTTTGTGGCATCTATAGGGTTTTCTATGTACATTATCATGCCATCTGCAAGCAATGGCAGTTTCGATACCTCCTTCCCAATTTGGATGCCTTTTATTTTCTTTTTTTGTCTAATCGCTGTGGCTAGAACTTCCAATGCTGTGTTGAATAGAAGTTGTGAAAGCAGACATCACTGTCTTGTCCCTGATCTTAGTGGGGAAGCTTTCAGTTTTTTCCCATTGTATATGATGTTGGCTGTACTTTTTTCATATAGTGCCCTTATTATGTTGAGGTATGCTCCCTCTACTCCCACTTTGCTGAGAGTTTTTATAATAAATGGATGCTATACCTTATCAAATGCTCTCTTAGCATCTATAGATATGATCATGTGATTTTTGTCTTTTGTTTATATGATGTATTATGTTTATTGATTTGCAAATATTGAACTATCCTTGCATCCCTTGGATGAATCCCACTTTATCATGGTATATGATGTATTTAATGTATTGCTGGATACAGTTTGCCAATATTTTGTTGAGGATTTTAGCATCTATGTTCATCAGTGATATTGGCCAGTAGTTTTATTTTTTTTGTTGTTTTTTGTCTGGTTCTGGGATTAGGATGATGCTGGCTTCATAAAAAGAGTTTTGGAGTCTTTGTTCTTCTTGGGTTTTTGTAATAGTCTGAGAAGGATAGGGGTTAGCTCTTCCTTAAATGCTTTGTAGAATTCTCCTGTGAAACTGTCTGGTCCAGGGCTTCTTTGTGTCATAGCTTTCTGATTACTGCTTCAATTCCATTTGCTCTTATTGGTCTGTTCAGGCTTTCTGATTCTTCTTCATTCAGTTTTGGAAGATTATATTTTTCTAGAAATTTCTCTACTTTACCCCGGTTTTTAAATTTCTTGGCCTATAATTGTTCATAAAAAGTTCTTATAATCCTTTGTATTTCTGTGATATCAGTTGTAATATCTCATCTTTCCTTTCTGATTTTATTTATTTGGGTCCTCTCCCTCTTTTTCTTGATGAGCCTGGTTAAAGGCTTGTTGATTTTGTTTATCTTTTCAAAGAACCAGCTCCTGAATTTATTGATGCTTAGAATTGTGCTTTTAGTCTCTATGTCATTAATTCTGCTCTGATCTTGATTATTTCCTTCCTTCTACTCACTCTGGGCTTTGTTTGTTGTTGTTCCTCAAGTTCTTGTAGATGTCGGGTTAGGTTGTTTATTTGAAATGTTACTTTTTGTTTTAGGCAGCCTGTATTGCTATGAACTTCCCTCTGAGGACTGCCTTCACTGTGTCCCATAAGTTTTGGAGTGTTTTGTGTTCATTTTCATTTGTTTTCAGAATCTCTTTGATTTCTTCCTTGATCTCATTATTCACCCTTTCATTGATTTATAGTATGCTATTCGGTCTCCATGAATTTGAATATTTTTGAGTTTTTTCCTTGAAGTTGGTTTCTAGGTTCAAACTCTTGTGGTCTGAGAGAATTTTTTACATGATTTCAATTTTTTAAAATTTGTTGAGGCTTTTTTTTGTCCTTTAATGTGGTCTATCTTTGAAAATGTTCCATGTTGCATTTGAAAACAGTGTGTACTTTGCCTCTTTGGAATGAAAGGTTCCACATATATCAGTTAAGTTCATTTGATCTAGGACATTGTTCAGTTCCACAATATCTTTGTTGACATTTTGTTTGGAAGATCTGTTCATTTTTGACAGTTGACTGTTAAAATCCCCAACTATAATTGTATTGCTGTCTATATGTTTATTGAATTCTTCCAAGGTTTTCTTTATGTATTTCGGTGCCCCTGCATTGGGTGCATGTATTTTTATAATGTTTATGTCTTCTTGATGGATTCTTCTCTTGAGTATTATGAAGTGTCCTTCTCTGTCTCTTTTTATGCCTTTTGTTTTGAAGTCTATTTTGTCAGATACAAGTATTGCTTACCTCAGCTTTTTTTTCCTTGCCAGGGCTTCCTAATCTAGAGTTTGTGTATTATATCTCAAACTGAAATGTAGCATTGTTTTCAATTTTGAATGTAAGTAATAAGCCACAGGAAAATTAGCAGTAGCTGTGACTCTGTCACCAGTAGAAGTCACATATAACTCTTGTTGCAGATATTGTGAAATTTATTTCACTCCCACCACTACTTAGAAACATCCATGGTTATTAGATCTGCTACTATTTAATGTGTTAATAGAGAGTACATATATTATTATATCACAAATTTGGTTTAAATTTTTTGCTAAGTATTGCTTTAATATAATTAATTTTCCTTGGGATCTTATGTATTTTAATTTTATGTATTTGAAGACTTTTTTCTGAGATGGAGTCCAGACTGCCAAATGTTCCATTGCACTAAAAGTGTCAATATTCCTTGAAGATATACCATAAAGCTTCATCATGTAATTACACATTTTGAATTAACTTATGGGATGCATCATTATTCTGAACAAAAATGGTGATGGGAAAACCTTTTGAACTTCATTTAGAAATTACTTCATATTCAGGAGAATAGTTGATAGAAAATTTGAACTAAGCAGAATTGTAGTATGTGTCCTGATTTATTTTAAGTTGCTATCAATAATTACAAAAACCTGCCCTGGCTGGTGTAGCTCAGCGGATTGAGCACAGGCCTGCGAACCAGACAATCGCGGTTCAATTCCCAGTCAGGGCACATGCCTGGGTTGCAGACCAGTTCCCTGCAGGCCAGTTCCCAGCAGGGGACGCACGAAAGGCAACCATACATTGATGCTTCTCTCTCTCTCTCCTTCCCCTCCCCTCTAAAGATAAATAAATAAAATATTAAAAAAAATAATTACAAAAACCTTAAAAAGATCAAATGAGTAATCACTCTTCATAAGACCGCTTATGTAGTAGCAATCATCTAAATTTATGGCAGTATTAGTTGTCAGGCCTTACGAACCTGTGAGTTCTAGCCTATGAATTGGTGATTATTTTTGTTGGTGATGAGAATGAGGAGAGCAAGTTAGTAAAGAAATGACATAGGTGACAGCACTTTAGATGCCATCAACTACTGAAAATATTACCCATTATAAATAACATGAATAGGATTTGTGGTAAAAACCAGTAAAAGTATAAAGCTCTTTCATAGTGAATTTAGAGGCCAGTGATTTATTTTTAAAGAAGATGTCCTAAAAATAATCTATCTTGTAGCTGAGTTTGCCATTTGATGTCATGATTATAAAATGAGGTTCACCTTTTCTCATTCATCTTACTCCTTTGTTTACCCAAAGCACAGATTGTATAAAATCTTGCACATTTATTTTCATAATCTCCTCTCTGTCACATATAAATGAAACTTAGCTCAGAAATATTCCTTCAGAAAAACAGCATGTTTACTTTTTTAAAGGAACAGTCATTTCAGCCTGCTATTCAAGATAAATGAAAGTATGGCTACTTATCTATATCTCTTACTTTTAATTACTGGATGACAGAAGGAATGAAATCCTAAGGAAAAAACAAACTTATTTGCTTTGCCAATACTCAAAATAGTTGAATTCGCCTGTCAATATCATTTGTTAGGAAACACACACAGTTCCGTAAAGGCTCCTCTGTTGTTTTAACAATGTTTTTCTTAAAATATTATACAATTCTGTAAAGAAAATGATGCTATAACTTGAATTTAGCAGAGAGGAGAAAGAAACAACCCAAGGTCAATAATGTGGAAACATTAATGTTAAAACACTGTATTTTTCTTCTCCTTTTAGGTTTGCTGAATTTTTATTTACCGAGGAATTCAAGGCAGGTTCTCGTGTGCTTGAAAGTATATACAGCTTGTATGAAGGCTTCTCTGGGACAGTGTGCTTTCTGATTGATCTGCTGCAGCCCAGTCAGGCAGAGTTCCCTCTCTTCAGCGTCTTTGTTTAGAAGACTCCATGTCCCACTGTGGCATTGCAGAAAGTCCCCGAGATTTCCCAAGCCTAATGAAGACAGTTTCCATACAAGACACATTCAATGGTATCACAACCATGAGCCTTACCATTGCCACAAGAAGGAAGGAAAAAAGGAAGGGGGATGGTGGATCAGGCATGTGAAGGCAACGTGATACCAGACTTAAGGTAGAACAGTTTGAGAACCTGAAAAATAAAGACACCACAACTCTTCTAAAAACCATAGAAATTCAGTATTTCAGAGACTAGGAATTAAACCAGAAATTACAGGAGAAATGGAAAGATAAATCATTCATTTTTCAGTTAGGGCATATAAAACAAAATTGAAATGTGAGCAATGGCCATAAAATGAGAACACCTTTGGAATTTGAGAGAGAATTTGACCATTTGTGGGTGCCCTCCACCACTAAATTCAGCAGTAAACACAATCTGAAACTAAAATAATTGGCCAGGAGAAAGCTGCCAGGATGGATGAAGTGTCAGGTTGCTGAAGGACAAAAAAAAAAAAAGGAAGCTCTTGGTTGTCCTATGCCTTTATTTACTGAAATGCATGATTTTTACTAAATGGAGAAATTTTCATATGAACCTCTATTTTTATCATTGCCCTGGGCACATACCATAACATCATTAAAACCCTGAAATTTGAAGTTTCCTTAGGCCTCAGAGCATCTCTTTTCCTTGTTCCTTTTTTCCCCCTAAAGCCCAATTAGAATAGTAAAATTCATAGGCTAGAAAATATTGTAGCAAGTGTTGCTGTCAAACGTTTTTCTCAGTTTGAAGTGTGAGCCGTTATTGTTTATTGTAATTTTTTAAATGACTGTATAATTCTTGTGAAGCTATTAGCTGAACCGTAAAATACACTTGTGGAAAAAAATCACTCATCTCAAAGGTCAGGGTAACCACTACCAAATTGTGTCATTTCTACCTTTGATGGAATACTGTGTCCTGTAGAACAGTCAGACACTGGCAGAGGAAGGGGCTAGTGATTGTGAAAAGAACGTTGCTCAAGTTTATACTGTTAGATTAGGAGATGAGTGAACTCCTTGGCTGATTACCTTATCTTCCAAGACACAAGCTCCGCAAGAAATTGTCTACAATTCCCACTGAGCCAAGTTGTCATGTTAAATTCGACCTTGCTATAAACACATAGACATTGTAAAACTACTTCAAGTAAATAGTGCTTTTCAGAACACTGTAGGAGCATCTGCGGCTTCAATACTTAGAACATGAGTTTACCCCTTTCCTAGGATTTGGTCACTGGTGATTTCATGTATCAAAGAGGACGAGGAAGTTGTATACTGTGCAAGATTGAACAATTATTTAAATAGTAATTAAATATTTGGATATATATGTATATATTTTACATATATCTCCATGTAATTCAAGCATTTACTTAGTTCAGTAGTTCTTCACTTCCTGATTCATAGGTGAACTTTGGGAGGAGTTGGGGAATACTCTGTTGCCTAAAAATATGTACATTTACATGCGTGTATGTTGGATGTGCCCATGTGCTTGTGTGTGTATGAGTGCTCGTTTTTCTCAGATGACCTCTAGCATTCATAAAATTCTCAAATCTGTGGCTGAAAAAAGGTAAGAACTGCCTTTGTATTTTTTATGACTGTTTATGTTTTTACTCATCAGAACAAACTAGCACAGTGCTTTTGAAAAGCATTCACCTTTTTAGCTTGTTTCATTTTCACATCCTCAGATATAAATATATAAAATTGGCCTCAATTGTTCATCTTTGAAGGTACTCAGGTTGTAGCAATACCACATAAGTTGCAGTTTTAAGATGACTGCCAAAGTTGGGTTCTAGAGGTTCTTTCAAGTATAGTGAAGGACCTTTCTGAAAGCCTTAAGACAAAAATGCTTTCTACAAGAGGGCTGCTTTTGAAATGAGAGTGATACCTGCTTTTCAAATCTAGGGTTTCACTTCCCAAGGTTCAGTAATGTAACTGACATTGTTATGCTTGACCATTGTGAAAAGATAACCCTTTTGTCTGTCAAATCATAGCAAAGGCCATGTTTGAATGTGTCTTTATTAATTGACATGCTGGTAAATTGGCAAAAAGGGTAAGCTTCTTTGTCACTTAAACATGTTGTAAGTTTTCATTTTCACAAAAGAGTACAATTATAGGTTTGGGAAAGATAGAAACTCTTCTATCATGTTGTTTTCCCAAGAAGTGGAAAAATACCCCTAAGTGTTGTCATAGAAAAGTGTGACATGTCACTTCTTATTTAATTAACCAAATTTTCCCTTCTATGTAGTAATAGTTTGAATAGTGCTTAATTAAGTATGTTGCCACTTGAAGACTATGGGGCAATTCACCACCACTAGCATAACTATAATATTATTTACTATATGTGACATGAACAATTATAAACCCTGAAGGTAACATTGGAGATATGTGAGGATATTGGAAGAATCTTCTAACAATGGGAAGACTTTATTATATTTTGAGAACAGGAAGTTTTGAGACATATTACAACTCTGCATTTTGGTTCATTAACACATTTATGAATCTTCTCTCCCACACATATCCCAAAATATTACATATCTTTATTTTACCCAATCCCATTTTAGCCATCAGTTTTTATTTTTTGTTCCATTTTCAACCTGATAAGTAAGAACAGAGATTCAATAAACCAGTCAGAGAAAGACAATTACCATATGATTTCACTCATATGTGGAATGTAATGAACAAACTGCACTGACAAGGAAAACAGAGACAGACTCATAGATGGAGAACAGGTGACAGCTATTGGCGGAGGAGTTCATGGAGTGGAGGAATTGAGCAAAAAGGAAAAAGGATTCACAGACATGGACAACAGAGTGGTGATTGCTGTGGGGAGGGGGTAAAAGAGGACTAAATGGTAATGGAAAAATATAATAAAGATTAAATAAAAATTAAAAAATGAAATAAAAAAGAACAGGGATTTCACAGCATATATTCCGCTGTGATTCTTCAGGTAACTGACTACACTCTTAAGTTTATAGTTTTCACTTTTTGATATCTTCAAAAAGAGAGTCCTTTGTTAGTCTATGCTAAATTACAACTTCTCCATGGCAATTTATGTATTTAACTTCCTTTGACACACTAATATTTTATTTTAATCAAGGTAGCACTCAAATTGTTTCAATTTCTGTAGAGAGGAAATGTCAATTTCAATGCAAAAAAATGTAAGTTCGTGATTTATAACCATATTAAGGAAACACAGGATTAAAAGAAAAAACATCAGTCTTAAAGCCTTTCTCTGCCAATTCTATGGGCCATTATAATAATAATTGTTATCACCCTCTCCACCTCACAGGGTTGTGGTGAGGGTTGTCAATGATAAGATGAAAGTTTTTAACTTGCAGGCACTTTATGTATTTAAAAAGGGAAGCTGAATTTTAAGTACCTATTACATGCATAGAAAAATCACGCTTAATTATGTCTTCAAATAAGCATTTTAGGGAAATGGAATCTGCATGTGTGGATGCAGTACTTTCTGGATCACCTAACTGTTAAAAAACGAAGTGTATGTTTTTCCTATTCTAGATCCAATCCTGACTATGGTATTTGTGCCTCAGAAGGTTCTAATTTACTGAGGCTTAGTACATAGGCATAGGCTGTTTTAGCTGTTGAGCTCCTTGTAATGCAAATATTTATTTTGCATGCTGAAATAAAGAATTAAGGTGACAGTAATGCAAGAAAGGGAGTTAGCAGTCTAGGCCAGCAGAGAAAACATGAAATGGGGAATAAAGTATTTTTGCTTGAGTTTGGTCTGTACTTATTTTAGGCCTCAGAAGTGCATGGCATATAGTGATAGAAATATACTAGATTGCATACAAGGCCTCCCTTTTGGGACCTCAGTTATTTATTCAACACTACACCAAATTAATAGCTAAATGAGTAAGCCTCAAATTCACCAAGGCCATGTGACCTTGGCATAAACTTGGCAAGGAAAGCAAATGAGAAGGCAGGCAAAAGGCACAGTACATCTACAATTCTCACTGAGATTGCTGCAGCTCAGCATCTCAGTGAGAGTTGTAGATGTATTTTCAATGCTGCTAAGAACCACACATCTTACTCACGGTGTTTATTGCTTCCTAGGATCTCAAATTACCCCATCCCCCAATTCAGCAACTTATTGTCTTCTTCCTCTTTAAATAGTTGCACACTGATATGGTTTTTTTTCCTGTGTGCTTAATCATGTGACCTTCTTTCACCTGGGCAGGAAGGTTTTCTCCTTATCTCTTCCATCCACGTCCATTGGTAGCTGAGAGTTTCAGGCTCAGTAAAGACCAGATTCCACTCTAGACAGAAGGACTAACCTCAAGGTCAGCAGCAGAAGGAGTTGGACTGGTTCTTTAGCCAGACCACAGGTCCAGCCCAGCTCACCCCAAGTTTGATGTACTTGAGAGTACAATGGCAGCTGCATTTGCCTTGCTTCTCCCAAAAGAAATCCAACCATTTTATTTGTAATGTGATGGGGAAAAAAGTGGATGATAGTATTAAATATCTGGGCCTCCTGCATTATTATAAATTTCATACTAGGGGTGCTCTTTCCTGGTTTCCATAATTAAAAGTGATAATAAATTGAGACCTGATAGATGATGCCTTTAGAGTTTAAAAATACTTTTTAAAAATGTTCTTAAAGTGTTGGATCTTGTCATTCCCACCTAGAGTCTTCCACAAATAGTAGTCTTTTGTCTGCAGAATTTCCTGCATTGTCTTTGCCTTTGTGTACCTATGAACTTACCCCTCTGAACTGAATTTGAAAAGTTGTATAGAATGAAAACCAAATCACCTGTATTTTTGTTCTTTGCGGGGGATTTGTTGTTGTTGGTGAGCAGTGTGGTTAAAAGAGCAGACTAGATCCTGGCTGGAGTAGCTCAGTGGATTGAGCACAGGCCTGCAAACCAAAGCATTGCCAGTTTGATTCCCAGCTAGGGCACATGCCTGGGTTGCAGGCCATATCCCCAGTATTGGGTATGCTAGAGGCAACCACACATTGATGTTTCACTCCCTCTCTGTCTCCCTCCCTTCCCCATCTCTCTAAAATAAAGAAATAAAATCTTTTTTTAAAGAGCAGACTATCTTTTCTTTTTCTTGCCTTTCTCCTCTCTGTACAATATGGAGGGAGAACAGGGAGAAAAGATATAGAAGGCTTGACTGGAAACAGTTTGCAAGGACTTCCTGTTTGTTTCCTGTTTGGTTTTTCTTAGTTTCTGTAGGAAATTGTATGTGTGTGCAAGAGAGACAGAGACAGAGACACTGAGCACTGAGAGGGACTGATGGGCTTAGGAAGAGTCAGTATGACATATGAAATAAACTCAACATTTAGCTATTAGATATATCTGAGTGAATGCATAGATGCGAGTACACATTCATTAATGAATGGGTCTCCATTGTGTGTTGAGTGCTCTCTAGTAAAGTAGTACGTAATTAATGAGGGCCCTAGTTACACTTCTAGTGTATATCTTAAGTATTAATTTCCTTTATAACTTCTTCTGTCAGGTTAACGCCATTAGTAATCTGTACAAGGTAACAGATGTGAGTTTCACAAACAGAGCTGCAAGTGAGCCATATAAGTAATTTTTTTAATTTTCTAGTAGCCACATTAAAAAAGTGAAGGCAAGCAGGTAAAATTCGTTTCCATTATGTATTTGATTTAACTCAGTATATTCAAAATATTATCATTTCAACATGTGCTCAATATAAAATTGTATTATTTTACATTTTTTGTACTGAGTCTTCAAATTCTGATGTATATTTTACACTTACTGCTCATCTCCAATCAGACTAATCACATTTCCAGTGCTCAAGAGCCACATGTAGTTTGGCTAGTATATTGGATAGCACAGGGCTAGCATCCTACTGCTGTTTCACAGTAATAATAGGGTCTTCCTATAGCTTATGTGTGTTTTTGTTGTTACAAAAGAAAATGTAAACAGAACACTGTATGTTATTTGAGTACCACAGTGTTTCCCCAAATGCAAAACACTAGTACCAAGAGCTTCCCTGTGGAAAAATAGGTTCTATGATTAAACGAGTTAGGAAAATTCTATTCTTTTACCCCCCTTTGGAGATTTATATGAGGCATTAACATATCACAGACTCCGAGAAAACCGTCCTAGGTAGAGAAATGTGTTTGAGGTTGTTGAGCTTTGTCTCTGTAAGGTTCAACCTCCTGATTGTACTGTTGCCCAGCTACCACTATAAAAACATGCTTACTCTGACATGGTACATTTATGATGTGCTTATAATATTTATTTTTTCTAAGCACCTTTCCCCCTTCCCCACACCCAGGCTGAGGCCCATTAAAGATACAACAATGGGTCTGAGCCAGAGTATTAAACCTACTAAATCTTGCTCTCAGACCTTAGGTCATTCTTTACTACACTTTTGGGGACAAGAATTTTGTAAATTGCCACAAGTGTCTGTAAGTAAGAAAAACACTGTGTCTTCCCTTCTTTTTCTATTCTTTTTGGAGCCTACCTCTACTTAGCCTTTGTATTCAGAATCATCCTAGAGCCAAGATATATCTTCTTGTTCTGGAACCACCTACTAAATTGAAACCAGAAGGTGGCTTTAATGTCTTGCACATGGACATTTATCTTCAAAAAAAGTCCCTAAATGCACACCTTGCTCTCATTTCAGAAATTATGAGCACTCTAAAGAGATGAGGGGAGAAACATCTGAATGTACAGACCTGTGTGTAAATATAGAATACAGTTTCTTAAGTAGAATAATACCATCCTGCTGATGCTTTCTTTTTTGTGTGTGGTATGACTTACAGTGCTTTAATGTGTACCGTTTTTGTCAAGTGTGTAGAGTAGCATTAACTTAGCAATCAGTTTAAATAAGATATAGACTATACTTGACAACTGTCAATCTTTAGTAAGTGACCTTTTTGCCTTTGTTTTAGTGGGACATCTGATGCTGCCCCTGTTTTGTTTTATAATCTGTACTTATGTGGCATTTTACCAGTTAAAAGTAATTCTGTTGCTGAATTTGGTCCAAGTTGACTTATAGTAACCTTTATATGTGGATGCATTCAAGTCAGAAGATTGATTAAAATGATTAGCTTTGTCTTGTTTCCTAGGACTTTAGTATTTCAATATCAGAGATGTCTTCTGAAAATGCAAAGTTTACCATCAGTTTTATGTAGACTGTCCAGGAGTAGGAGTGGAACATTCTAAGTGCAAAAGTTTGGTTTTAGAATCTGTCTGATAAGGAAGGGCAGCCCATTCTTTAAAAAAGTAACAACTTTATCAACTTTGAACATCTGTGATAGCTCTGCTTGGAAAGGAAGTCAGATTTTTAAAAAGATTTTATTTATTTATCTTTAGAGGGGAAGGGAAGGAGAGAGGGAGAGAGGTATCAATGTATGGTTGCCTCTCACGCGTCCCCTGCCGGGAATTGGCCTGCAACCCAGGCATGTGCCCTGACTGGGAATTGAACTGTGATCCCTTAGTTTGCAGGCCCGTGCTCAATCCACTGAGCTACACCAGCCAGGGCAGGAAGTCAGAATTTTAATCTCATAGATTTAGTTGCGCTAAATTTAAAAACATTTAAAAATGGATTTCATAGAATCCAAAGATTATGGGAAACTTTGCAAAGCCATATATAGGAAGAGTCAAAGAACCCATATCAGTTTCAGAGTGTGCATTTCCCAAGTGAATAGAATTTACTTCACCACAAATATTTTTTGCACAATTCACAATACTTACAGAAGTATAATTGTGTCATTGGAGGAAAAAAGCTAATTTTCCTAATGATATTTTTTATATTCACTAGTTAACTAGTGCAATCCCTTTATTACTTTGGGGGGATACAAAAGAATAATCACTCAATACAATACAATTGCTTGCCTGGCTGGTGTAGCTCAGTGGATTGAGCATGGGCCTGTGAAGCAAAGGGTTGCTGGTTCAATACAATTGCTTATTCCTAATTATATCTAGGAATGAATACATACTATTAAAGTATTATTGAATTTTGAAGAACTGCTCAACAAATTAGTATTATTAATAAAATTGTACTCTTGCAGTAGATTTGCCTCAGCACAAATGCAGAGTTAAAAACAAATTTATGAAAAATACATCAAATAATAAAGATTAGTTATTGCTTTAAAATCATACTAATTTCTATTAGCATTAAATCCAATACCATTTATCTGTATTATATACATTTTGAAAGTCTTGCACACAAAACAAGAGGCTTCTTCAAAAATGCCTTTTTGCCAAAAACATGTTCTATGACCTCTTGCTAATTATTATATTTCTTTAGGGGTATTGTGAGGCACTTTCAAAGACATATCTCTAGCAGTTAAGTCTAATAATATAGAGAAGAACATTCAGTCAGATATTTTATTATATCACAAAATGTCGTAGTACTGTATTTTATAATAAAAACCAATTCTCAAGTGTTCTGGTATGTTACATATTATTAGACCAAAAAAAACCCTACTTTCTATAAGTGTGTTATTGTGTATGTAATATTTTTTTAAATGGTGGGTATTTCAGTCCTAGCAAGAAAGGATAATGCAATACACAGTGTTAAATTGATCTTTAGTCAAAATCCATTTGACAGGGAAACTAGCGATCATAAGCTCAAATGTATGCAATTTTTTCTCAAGGACAAAAAGGCAAATGATATTACATAAAGTTATGGTCACTGGGGCAAGTTAGCTGGTGTGCACACTGACAAGCATCAACATGCAAAAGCTCATCAGACTTTAACTTTCATTATTGGTTATTCCTGGAGGGGACAGTGCTGCAGTCAGTTGATATTGCCTCCCCTTCACGTGGGATTTTGCTCACAGTCACTGCATGGTGTAATGAAATCTCTTTAGAAGCAGGATTGATTGAGTCAGCTTAGAGAGGCACCTTACTGTTTTTTAGAACTGCTGTTACAATGTTCTAAACACTGTGATCTTCCCAAATGTGTTTTCTGTATTAATTTTATACTGTAGAAAATAATTTGCTATAAACTGGACTCTGTGTTTAAAGCGATGTTGTTTATTGACTTATAACCACCCCCATTTATGTATGGTCTACTTAATAAAATAAAGCGCGGGATAATCCTTTGCCTTAAAATAAAATCTGATGCTAAATGTTGATTGTGCTCTAATGAATAAGACTAAGCTACAAATAAATATTTCCTTTAAAGCTTAAGACAGTGTCAAATAAAATATTATAAAAATACTCTATGGAGTGTCGCTTCCTATTCTGTATTTTTGACAGTGTGTGTATCTTGATCCAGGACATGGTGACCACTGGGTTCTATAAATAGACATTAGTAATCCTTTTAGAGAATGGGCCTGGTACCACTCAGCTGTTGGCTGAATTCTCCCCTTAACCCTTATAAATAGATTTTTCCCAGGCCACATAAGAGTGAAGAAAAACAGCTCTTCATGTTTTCTCCTTTCACAACATTTGTCTTGATTCCTACCGAATCTTCAGTCTGTTTGTGATGACATCATTTTCCAAAATAGAAAAATGCTAGAGATTACTGCAGATTGATAGAATGGCCTAATTTCAGCAGGGAAAAAGGACCGTCATTATTAAAGTCTAATCCTTTGGAACAGGTTGGGACCTGAATTTTAGAGATTTAGTGGCCTGCTTAAGCTCTGAGGGACAGATGGGTTGAGTTCATCCTGATGCCCAGAAGGTTATCACAAATTCAGTGAGTGGAAAGGAATTGTGTTAGTCTTGGGGCTAGCACACACCAGTAAGGCCATAAAACGGTTTCCTTATTAGGCCATGGCCTTTGCCCTGAGTTAGTCACAGTTATAAAAGAATAAATTTTATAGACAGTTCTTTTGGGATAGATGGTGTTGGCTCCCAAGGATTATGTCTGGTGCTCTTCCACCATTAGAAGCAATGCTTCAAATCAGTATTTGAACAGCTGAGGGGCATGCTTACTTGGCCCAGTGAAAAGGTAATTCTGGGTGCATGACAATATACTTGTACTTTGAAAAGTATCTGCGTGGTCATGGTATTTTTAAATGACAGAAAACGCAGGCCCTTTGAGGATTTGGCTGTTCCCTAGGCCCAGAAAATAGAGACTGGGCTGGAAAAAGCTAACAATGGGCCCCGTTGGTTGCAGTTTTTCAGAAGGTTGTGAACTGTGTCTAACACGAAAGCCAGCTAACCAAGGGGCTCTAGGACCCAGCGGCTACGCGCAGGGCGAAGGGCCTCCGGAGGCTTTGGGGCCCCTCGCGCGGGCTGCTGCTAGGTACGGGTTCGCGACCCGCCCCCGGACCCTCACCTCAGAGACGCCTCAGGCATATTGGCGCGTGGGTGGTGTACGGCGCGTGTGGGCGTGTCCGAACGTGGCCGCGCTCCCCGCCTCCCAGCAGCTGGATAGATCGCCCCCAGGCTCCGCTCTAGTGTTCGGCCCCGTGCCCGGGCGGGCAGCGCAGAGCGCGGGAGCCGGCGGGGCTGGGCCTGCCCGTAGACCCTCGGGCAGCTGCCGCCAGCGGTACAGTCACAGAGTCGGCCGGCGGTCCGCGCGGCTGACGCGCGGAGATGAAATTCCCAGGCTCGGTGCTGGCGTCCGTGTTCCTGTTCGTGGCCGAGACGATGGCGGCGCTGTACCTGAGCAGTACCTACCGCTCGGGCGGGGATGGCATGTGGCAGTCCCTGACGCTGCTTTTCTCGCTGCTGCCCTGCGCGCTCGTGCAGCTCACGCTCCTCTTCGTGCACCGTGACTTCAGCCGTGACCGGCCACTCGTGCTGCTGCTGCACCTGCTGCAACTTGGGCCCCTCTTCAGGTGCGTGCGGGGGACCACGGGCCCCCAGCCACAGACCACCGCCGCTTCCCCAACCCGCGCTGGCCCAGGGGGGCGGCCTTTTGGGAGGGACAAGTGACTGGACGGGGCACTGGGCCCAGGCCGGCCCACCCTGTCAGTCAGGCCCACGGTTAGAGTCCCAGGAATGCGACAGTATCCTGGGATAGTGACAGTAAAGCTGGGCGGACTGCGTTCCTGTTAGGTTCTTGCCAAGAAATTGCCGACACTCAGTGGAATTTTAACTGACAAAAGTGGCAGTTTCATGTGGTTCCACGTCCTAAACATCCAGGCTTTCTCTGCGGTCAGGTGGGCTCTGGCAGGATTCGTTTGTGTCGTGACTAACCCTTGGGAAGTGTGTCCTGAATCACCACTGCAGCAAAAGCGGGGATAGATTGTTTAATTTATTAAACACGTGGAGTTTATTATGTTCCAGGCACTGTTCTGAGCACTTTACAAATATTCATTTATTCTATTATCATACATAACTCTAGAAAGCCACACCTCAGTCTTTTTTTTTTCTTGTATGTGGGAACATACAGGGTTGTAGAACCATCTTCCACCCTTGCCTGAGTTATAAACCTAATTGTTGAAGCTGGAACACAAGATGCCATGAAGACAAAAAAACTTGCAGTGTGTTAAGGAAAGAAAACCTCCAGGGACATTTCTGGAAATTTGTTTTTATTAACATAAACCAAGAGAAATACATGGTAGTGAAGTAGATATTGGCTTATCCAAAGACCATGAAGAGAGTTTAAAATGTGATGTTTTGATGTCTTTCATCTCTGTAGGAAAAGCAAAACCAAGGGTTTCTATTTGGATTAAGTATAAAGTAATATTATTGAACTTGAGAAGTAGGTGAAATTTCACCTGCCAGAAAATTCAGCCATTTTAGCCAGGGACCTGTCCTACCAGGGAGTATATCTCCCCCTACAACCCCCTATTCACCCACACATCCACATGCAACACAAAGCCAAGCAGCAAGATAGGTTTTACAGTGCATTATAATAAATATTTGCACTTCATATTAAAGACAGCCATTGTAGCTGACACTCAGAATATGGACTTGTAGTTTACACCATTAAGACAAAGTTGGTGAACAAGTTTTCCAGAAGCTGGGAAATTCTAGAAAGGAAGAGAAGCAGGTACATTGAAAGGGGGAAAAAGTTGCTACTGACATCTTGAGGGCAAGGGAAGAGTTGGGGGGAAAAGAGAGACAGAGCAGAGGAGAGAGAGAGAGAGAGAAAGAAGGAAGAAAGAGGAGAATTTAAAAACTCCTGCAACCGGGAGCCATTAGTGAGAGAGTTAATCTTTTGTGGCCAAGTAGGCCACAGCATCCTGATTGTGTTCCCACTCATTAAAATCAATGTGATCTGAATTTGGACAAAGCACTCATCATTTCTTAACCTCATCCCTGAAAACTAAAGTTGCTGGTGATGTTTAACTGAAGTGGAGGAGAATGGGGAACTGACATTTCTCAAATGCATCTTGTGCTCCATGGGTTGTAGGTAGTTATATGCCTCAATTCACTGAATCCTCATTGTGAACTACCTAGATGTAATTGTCCCTATTATGGAGGAGGAAAATGAGACCCTACATCGTGTCCACAAGGCCTCTTAGAAATGAGGTAGAGTGACTTAGTTCCCTATACTCTGTGAAAGAAGGCAGAGGAGTGTGGAGTGTATTTTATCAATAGTTTGGTCTTTTTGGTCATGTTGGCAAAATTTAAAAGCACTACCTAAATAGCCATCCAGATAAATGATAATACCATATCATTTTTGCCATTCAAAATGTTTCTAAATACTAGGAGTGACCAAAGGCAAAGCTAATGATACGATATTATGAATAAAAAACAGGATGGTACTTAAAACCTGAGCTCAAGGAAGTATACCAAGTTGGGAGTGGTAATTTCTGGATGGTGGAGTTCTGGGATATTTTAATTTTCTCCTACAAAATATAGAAAGCACATAATTTCCTCCTTTATTGTATAGTTCTCTACATTTTTCAGTTTAACTTTTTAACACAGGCCAGAGAGGCACCTCAGCTGCCAGTGAAGTTTAACTTTATTGAAGAAAGAAAGAGGTTGACATTTTGAAGAGATAACTAGGTATATAAAATTTTTCAACCCCGTGAGAAAAATGTATTTCAAAAAAATTCTGAATGAGTCATTGTTTTCTTTCGGGGGGGGGGGGAACAAAATAAACCATAGAAAACAAAGCAACAAAGAACCTCCTTCTGTCAACAAGGGCTTTGTCATTCTAATGGAGCTGATTTCTTTCAAGGAGATATTGGACTCATGATCTTAGAGTTGAGATGCACAAGATGCAGTTCCAAGCCTCTTAGCTGCCAGATAAAAAAATGAACAATTTGATGTTTTGTATTAGCATGACTTAATATGTTATTGGAAGCTCTTCCTGCTGACTGTTTGATTCTATTTTAACTCTAAGATTTTTTCCATAGAATCAATATTATCTGACTCTTACAAAGGAGAGTCACAGTGTGTTTCTTTTCCTTCCTTATAGATTAGGCTTAGTAATATTTAGAAATTGTTTTTGAAAAATGTAGCTCTGTTTATTTTTGAGTGCATACTAACTGGCCCAACACATAGAGTCTTTTTAAGATGAGATGCTGTTTTTGAATCTACTCAGTTACATTGCATTATATTATACTGTAATAATTATGGGCTAAATACTGCATACTAGGTCCCACTGCTTCTTTCCTTTAGGGAAGTACCAGAGAGCTCCATATTTCATTTATATCAGTCTTATATTTAAAACTAAAGTCACAGTGTATATGGTTGTTTACTCACTCAGGCTGGGTTTCAATGATAAGAGCACAGAATAATGTCTTGAATTTTTTTTTAAGTTTAAGGACAGTCTTATTGTGAATGATAAGAGATGTTCTGGAAAACCAGAGGGGGAAAATACATCTTACGAACAATAACAAAATTTGTTTTTTATTTTACAATATGTTAATTTTATAAATTAATTATTAGAAGGAATGAGTTACTAGTTCAAGTAACTTTTATTCATTTTATTTACTGGTATAAGGAGGAAAAAATAGCATATGAAAATATGGGTTTATAAATAAAAGCTAAGAAGTTCCAGTAATATTTTATAGAACATTGCAGAATGATTCACCACAGTATTTGTCTCTTGTAAACTCTCAAAAGACTTTAAAATAACAAGATCCCAAATTTGAAGAGCATTTTTATTTGCAAAGTGCTTTTACATATAATATTTCATTTCCGTTCACTGTAAAACCCTGTGAGCTAACTGTCATTATCTGTTTTTACAGTTGAGGAATTGAGTCTCAGTGAGAGTATGCAAGAGGCTTTTCAAAGGTCACATGGTGCTTTCTGTTTAACCTGTTTGGTTCATGTGTAGCCTCACTAAACATATATGTCTTATGATATAATTCGGCATATAGGAAATCGTAGTCAGTATTTCTTCTGAAAGCATATTTTTATTAGCTACCTTCAAGGTTTTCTGTTAACCAGATTATTTATGCTGACACCAGCATTGATGGTTTCAGCTAAGGAATGAACTCCTTTCACTATGGTACTTGCAAATGAGAAAAAGTAAAAAAAAAAAAAAAAAAAAAAAAAAGGTCAACCTGCTGATTATCTACATTAGGGGTTGAAAAACTATGCCTCACAGGCCAGATCCCCCACTACCTGTTTTGTAAATACACTTTTATTTGAACAGCCATGCTCATTTATGTATGTGCTATGTATGACTGCTTTTGCACTAGTGGCACAGTTGCAATAGAGACCATGACCTGCAAAGCCTAACATATTTACTCTTTGTAAATACAGAAAAAGTTCGCCAATCCTTTGTTTACATGTTATGGAAAAGCCACCTTGAATGATTTTAATGAAAATGAAAATACTTAATATATGGCTATATTTAAACAACCACTCAAGCAAAAAACAAAGAAACCATGTTTTGAGTAATTGGATGAGTCTTGCAGAATTCTAATAAGACATAGAATTTTTTTCTTATCAGTTTCTTAACCAGAAGTGGCAAGTAGTGGAGGTCTTATGGCCTTGCACAAATTTATTAAACATTTATTCCGTGTAAGTTCTGTGCAAAGATAAATGTATTTAGTTGGGAAAAACAGTGGACAGTTCATTCTGGGACATTCTTTCATTTCAGTTGGTTGACACTGAAGTTTCATTTCATCTACAGTTTTGTAAGTTCTTGTTTAATGTCCCCCCTCAGCATTAGGAGAATTACTTTCTCCTCTGAACCTTCATTTTATTTATTCATCTTTTAGCATGTGCTGGTATTTCTTTTGTCTGTTTATTCTTTAATTCTAAGGTTGATTTCATTGTTCAGGTAAAATATTTGTTACAAAGAGCAAAAACCACATAAGCACAATTAAAAAAAATACTGCTGCCCTCTAATTTGACTGACTTTGTGACATTTTGTTGTAGGTATATCTTTACTAATATTTTTACACCAGTAAGCTAGTAAACTGTCTCTTAGGTGAAAAAAATCCCTGATTTGCAGCATTTGCTGATTTATGTGATGTAAAATTTCCTTTATGGCCCATTTCAAGCTACCAGTTGTTTAACAACTGGCTCACAAAACTATTTAACAATATGAGTCAGCTCAAGTACTCCACTGTTTATGTGTATGTGTCTGTCATATTTGTATATATTTTATACATATGCAATTTTCTATTTTTTAAATGGAATTTTCTAAATAAATCCAATTGTAATTTATTCCTTTCACTTACCAAATATAATAAACATTTTTATATATCAATAGATACAGGAGGTCTGTCCAGAAGGTATCCAGCCATGTCATATGAAAACTAGAGACATTTATTGAAGAAGGTACAAGGTACAAGAAACATTGTACATAGGACAATGATACCTCAGTCCCCTTCAAAGTAGGTACTTTGGGACCTCACACAGTTCTCCCGATCTCCATCAGCTCTGTCATATTTTCCTGAATCTCATCAATGGTCCGAAATTTCTTCCCATTCAAAGGTGATTTTAGTGTTGGGAAAAGCCAGAAGTCACAGGACACCAAATCTGGGCTATAGGAACACTGAGTCATCTGGGTGATTTGATATTTCTCCAAAAAACTCTGTAACAGACATGATGCATGAGCAGGTACATCATCGTGACAAAGCTGCTAATGACCAGTTGCCCATAGCTGTGGCCTTCTGAATCATCTGAATAGTATCCATGGAGGAAAGGTCAAGCTTTACGCAGAATTTGAGGCCAATTTGTTGTTCTACTCACTCAGTCATTTTGAATGTGACAGCCTCACAGTACACATGCTCACTCAACAGTGTCTGCCACCCAAACTGACTTGTACAGTGAAGTTGTCGCTGTCCACTGTCCTTGGCTCTCAGGTTACATCAGTATTGCACAAAGCATTCTCATTATATTAACAATGGCTAGACTTTTTCTGGACAGACCTTGTATGTGTATACTGTGAATTTAAAAGGACTGGATAATATTTCATTGAATCATATAATATAATTTATTTTATTATTGTTTCATTTGGGGACCTTTAGAGTATTCCCAGAATTTTGCTATTACAAATAATGCTATATTCAAAGTCTTGCATTAGGCTTTCTTAAGTGAGATAATATGTGAAAAATATTTTATAAATGGGAAGTACTGTATAAATGTTAGTTGTATTTATTATTCATTTTTCTTACCATGTATATGTCCCATTTTCCCATTTAGATTGTGATTGCCTCTGAAGGAGGCATTGGTATCCAGCTGTTTTTGCATTCCCCCACAGCACATAGCAAAGTACATTTGCATTCATCACATATTTGAGAGTGAAGACGATGGTCAGTTTATTTTGTCTTCTAGTACTTGTTGTGGTTAGTGGTCCAACAGTGTGAAGTTGCTAGGCCTCAAATAGTGCTCAGTCATACATACATTTGAATTTTTCCTCAGAATACATTGAGTTGCATCAGCTGCACTTGTACTCATAACTTGAACTTCATATTTTCAGGTGAACACATTGGTCCAGGCTGTTTTACATGTCTTTTTTTTAAGATTTTATTTATTTATCTTTAGAGGGGAAGGGGGGAAGGAGAGAGGGAGAGAAACATCAATGTATGGTTGCCTTTCGCGCGTCCCCTGCTGGGAACTGGCCTGTAGGGAACCGGCCTGCAACCCCAGTATGTGCCCTGACTGGGAATCGAACTGCGATTGTCTGGTTCGCAGGCCTGCGCTCAATCCACTGAGCTACACCAGCCACGGCTTACATGTCTTAATGTAATATATTAACATGTCTGTGACCTCACTGGACAAAATGTAGCAGACAGAACCCCCCCCCACACACACAAACTGCTATGTACCTTCTTTCTTTCAGGAACAAATGAACAAAAGTGATAATCACAGAATATGTCTAATTTGTACTCATAAGATATGTTCTCACATTATTTTCTTTACATTGTTTTATTATTTCAAATTATGAATGTATTCTTATTGTCATACTTGCCTAGGAGTGAGAGTACAAAGTTAGCAACATTAATAAAATAAGTGAAGCCATAAAAACTTCCAGCAGCATTATAAGATTGTTATAAAAAAGCATGTGCCCTGGCTGGTATGCCTCAGTGAATTGAGCACGAGCCTGCCAACCAAAGGGTCCCTGGCTCAATTCCCAGTCAGCACATATGCCTTGGTTGCAGGCCAGGTCCCCAGTAGGGGGCATGTGGGAGGCAACCATACACTGATGTTTCTCTCCCTCTCTCCCTCCCTTCCTCTCTGTCTAAAGGTAAATAAATAAAACATTTTTTTAAATACATTTAGCAGAAGATGTCCTTTAATAATTTTAAACCTAAGACCATGGGTATTTTTCTTATTCCTAAGAAAAAGAATATTTTCCACATCATTTTATTATGAAAAAATTTGAACATACAGAAGACAACTTGAAAGAAATGTACAGCGAACATCTAAATATTAACCACGTAGATTCTATAATTAACATTTTATATCACAAGTTTATCCATCCATCAATCCATTAGTACATTTATGTGTGTGTGTACTTCAAAGTAAATCAGACACATCAATACTCTTCCTCCCTTCAGTATCCATTTCATTACCTGGAAAGGAAATCCAATTTTAAAAGCCAGGTACTCTCTCAGTGTAGAAAGGTTATGGTTTTATACCTAGAGTAGGCTTGAAATTCCATAAATAGGACATAGCTGGCTGGCCCCCAGGCATGTTTGACTTTAGTCATCTTCTGTAAGGGTTTCTGAGAGCAGAGACATAGGAAACATGTTGTGGTCTTCCAGGGGAACACTAAATGGCAAACTGTTCTGTGCTGGAGGGGGTCTCTCAACCATAGCTGCTGCTTTAACTGAGGAGACTTGGGGTGTCTATTAGATGCATTAAATAAATTGTATATATAAATACATATACATATGTATATATATGAGATAGATACAGATATAGATATCCATGCATATAAGTGTAAATAGATATACATGTATGTACATGTATGGACATATATCCTGTATTATCTCCATAACAATGTGGTAAAGTAGGTTTTATCTCTGCTTTATAATTGAGGGAAGTAGCTCAAGGGTTAAATGACTTGTCTAGGGCTGCATAGCTTATAAGTGTCAGGAAGGCAAATTGAATATTTTTCTGTAGTTCTATTTGGTTTCCTTGTCTCAGTGGGCTTTGGTGTCACTTCTCAATTTGGTTCTCACTCAGTTCCATTTGGCCTGCTGGAAGGACTCCAGAGGACTGCATGTTCAAAACTGCTTCTTGGAGTGGATGATTTTAGAGGAGGGGCTGCAGTCCAGAGTAGCCAAGTCAAGGCTTTGAGAAGCCTAAGTGTAAGCAGGGTAACTGAGAAAAGAGAATCCTGTCTGCCTCTTTATCATGACTTACTGATTTGTTTCCAGGTGTTTTGAAGTCTTATGCATCTATTGTCAGTCAGGCCACAGTGAAGAGCCTTATGTGAGCATCACCAAGAAGCGACAGATACCAAAAAATGGCTTCTCAGAGGAGGTTGAAAAGGAAGTGGGCCAAGCAGAGGGCAAGATGTTCACCCATCGATCTGCGTTCAGTCGGGCATCGGTGATCCAGGCTTTCCTGGGCTCAGCCCCCCAGCTGACCCTGCAGCTATATATAAGCACCTTACAGCAGAACATCACTGCCGGAAGATGTATGTATAAGTATTTTTACTTCTGCCTTCATCTGGGGAGCAAAATGGGGAGCAAAATATAGAGTTAATTATGTTTTACATGAAATTCATTTATATGTGCATTCAGTCCTGAGTTTACATTCTAGTTACTAAGCTCAGTTAAAACAATAACTGTTTATTTGCTTATGAATTTGCAATTTGGGAAGGGCTCAAAAGGGCTCACCTATGCTCTACTGTACATCAGCTGGCTCGGCTCAAAGATGTGTGGTTAGAATCCATTGAAAGCCCATTTACTCACAGTTCTTATGGTTGCTGGTGGTCTCAGGCCTTCTCCATTTCATCTTTCTCTGTTGGTGGGTTTGGGCTTCTTCAAGGCATGGTGGCTGCCTTCAAACATCAGTGTCCTAAGAGGGAGAGATGGCCAGGTAGAAGAGTTATCATTTCTTATGATCCAGCCTTGGAAGTCATGTGACATCACTTCTGCTGTATTGTGTTTGTGGAAGCAGTCAGGAATCCTGCTGAAATTGAAGGGAAGAAGAGGGAAGGAAACTGACTCTTGTTGGGGAAATGTAGAGTTTTGAAAATAAGTTAGCTGCAGTGACCATTTTGGAAAATACAGTTTGCTGTAGATTGAAAATACAGCTGCCACAGTCCAGGCCTCTTTGGGTTTTGCCTCTGTCTTTCAGTGATAGTTGTAACCAGCTGAGATGGTTGGTTGTAATAGCTTCTTTGTGGTAAATGATGGAAGCAAGAGCACTCTTCTGTCTTATTGCAGTTTGAATGTGTCTCTTAGCTTTTAAATTAACAGTTCTCTAACCTTTGGGCTACTCTCACATTATCAAATTGAGGACAGGTTAAGCTAGATTTCCCAAAAAAACCCTCTATGTGCATGGACACAGTGAAAAACCTTCATATGTGAAGAGGAGATAGCCCCTTTCCAACATAAATATTATGGGTAAATGAAAACTAGATATTCTGATAAATTTTACTATACAGATAAGAAAAATGAACTTAAAAGCCTTAAGTTAAAATATATATTTAAGATAATATTGAAACTATAATTTTTAAAAATTTTTTAATTTATTTATCTTTAGAGGGGAAGGGAAGGAGAGAGGGAGAGAAATATCAATGTATGGTTGCCTCTTGTGAGTCCCCTGATGGGAACTGGCCTGCAACCCGGGCATGTGCCCTGACTGGGAATCGAACCGTGGTTGCTTGGTTCCCAGGCCCGTGCTCAATCCACTGAGCTACACCAGCCAGGGCTGACACTATAATTAAAAAAATAAATCACTTTTATTAATTTTATTTCCCTTAATATTATCCTCTTTCTGCCTATATTCCAGCTGGATAGTAGAATGTCTTAATTTATGGCTGGGCCACAGGGTATGTGCATATCACAACCATCTCCCTCATTCAGGACCTTAAGTTGAACTCTTGAACCTTGGTGGGTTAATATTTAGTTCAAAATGACTTCCACAGCTACAGACAAAGAGTAGGTGCTCAACAAATACCACAGCATCTTTGTTCTCTAAGGACTCATTACTGGAATCAGCATTGATCAAGGAGAGTTCTCTCTGTATGCCACTCTATCCTTTTCCCAGTTCATTGTTTTTCCATGTGGCAGGCAAAGACACAGCAAGAGACCAGATATGGCTATAGTCTGTTTGATTTTTATAAGTAGACTCAATGTTTTCTAAATGAAAATTGTCTTATAGTTCAGAGGTCAGCAAGTGACAGCCCATGGACCCAACTGAGCACTGCTTGTTTTTGTAAATAAAATTTTCTTGGAGCTTAGCCATGCCCTTTTCATTTACCTACTGTCTGTGTTTGGTTGCTCTTTTTTTTTTTTTTAGTAGACTTGAGGAGCTGTCACAGAATATATGGTCCACAAAACTTAAAATATTTACCATCTGGCTCTTTACAGAAAAAGTTTGCCAACCCTCATTTTAGTTTTTCAGACAGAATTCTGTTCAGGAAAATAAAACTTATTTTCTAAATGTCAGTGTCACAAATAATATCTATGGGGTGCCCCCCAGGGACTTGGGGGTCAAACAATAAATCAAATAGATATGGCAAAAGGAAATGCACAAGGTCCTCTGAAAAATTCAGATGGCTGACATTTAATGCAGACCTTGACTAACCCTACTCACTGCCTTAACAAGTCTGGTGAAGGAATTCCTTACCAGAAAGGAGAAAGGCAGTTAAAATTGGAACACAAAGGCAAACATTGATAGTGTCCAATATGTAGTTAGGGATGCATTTGCTGCAAGGAACAAATACATCACTACAGGGTTAAACACCCAGAGTTTATTTTGCTCACCTAACAAGAAATTGGAGAGAGGCAGTTGTTTGCTAGCATTATTTCCGCTGTTCACAATGTCAGAGTTGATGTCCCTGTAGTTCCATTGGCCTTTTAGCCAGCAGTGCTTCTCATGGACTTGTAGGAAGCTAAGAGACAGAAGGGATCCAAGAGGCCATCATGTCTGACTTTGCACTTTATGTAGAAGTCTCATCTTTGGTGTCTGCAAAAGGTGATCTATCAGCCTCTGCCTGACTATGTTTAGCAGTAGAACTCTCAGTACTCAAAAGGTACTGTTCCATTGATAAAGCACTTGTTAGAACATTCTTCTTTATGTAATAAGAAGTTAAGTGGGACTTTTCCTTTTTCCCCAGACATGACACCAGGTCTGAGTGCTAACGACAGCACATTCAGAAAGAAAGGCACTAAGTATTTGCCAGATTCTTTTTTTCAGGATTTTACAAGAGTGACAAATCAGCCCTACCACAATCAACTTCCTACATCCCCACCCTCAGATTCTATAAGGAAATACCTATGGGGAAGAGGTGAGAGAACAAGGACTTATATAAAAATACTACTTATAGTGAGAGGTCACTCCCTTCCCTCCCAGAAGCCAGCTGAAGTGGCATTTCAAGATGAAGGGTGTTCATAACATGGGTAGTCAAGTACTTCGATCCCTGCCTTTTAAGCCAGGAATCCATAGGCCCACTCTCCTGATGCTTCCTTCAGAGATAACTTGTTGTGTGTACCCTGGAGTTTAGGAGCATCGTGAATAATGAGACTGAGGCGTCTTTCTCATTTATAGATTTGTGAAGGAGGGAGTCTTGAGAGAATAGGCTGGGGTGAGCAGAAACTGTGATGCCATATGGCTAGAAAGGGGACAAGAGGTCTCCACTGTATCAGGTAGCTATTGTACGCAATAAATTACCCAAGACTTAGTGGTTTAAACAATAAGCATTTATCGTTTAGTAGTCTACACGTCAGCTAGGAAGTTCTAGTTTGGGCCAGTTTATGTTGATCTTGCCTGAGCTTGTTCATTAGTGCACATTTAGCCTGGGGGTCAGTTGGGAATGACTGGAGTAGAATGGCTGCACTTGGAATGGCCTACTTCCATGTGGTCTCTATTTCCTGAGCCTTAGTCTCTTGGTAGCAAAGCTCTGAGAAAGTCAAATTATGCAGAGCCACAGAGCCCCTTGTGGGTGGTTGAGGATTCAGAACTGAGACACTGCCATTTTTTTCACATTCTACTTCCACAGCTGAGAGGAGATTGGGGAGAGGGTGGTTCAAATCACTTTCATGATAATATCCCACCAAGTTGACACAACTAAGTAGAGCTCTTTCACTTATATGGAAATCAGCTTCCTTTAATTTTCAGCCTGATGTTTAGACCTGATTTTTCCCACTAAAGCAACACATACATACATACATACATACATACATACATACATACATACATACATATCTAGTCCCCCTTACCACATGGCAGATCTCCAAATATTCACAACTATACTGTATCCTTTTCCTTCTTTGTTCTCCGGAACCTTCTGTCGTTTCTCTAATGACATTATTTGAAGCCATCAAGGTTATTGTAGTTGAGATACAATCTGACTTGCCCCTTTTTTTCTTAAAACATGACATTCATAATTGAATGTGACATTGCAGACTTATTTTGACAAGAGCTGTTAGCAGTGGGATTGTGTTTTTTTATTGTTTTGCTTTAACCAGAACCCTGTGATTTTATTTATGTGCCCAAATGTTGTAGCTTTTGGAGGAGCTAAATCACAGAGTTTGTTTATATTGATGGATGGTTCAGTAAATTCTCCCAGTTCCTTTTTCATACTGGGAGCAGCTAAGCCAAGATTTACCCATCCAGTACCTATACAGTATGTTTTGAAATATATAAATGTAGGGCTTGATAATTTTTCTTGTTACATTTCCTTTTCTTGAATTCAAGACCAGGGTATCAGTCTTTTGAGACAATTTTGAATTGTGATTCTCTTGTCTTCTCAGTTTTGTCCCAGCTATAATTTTCTGTCTTCATCCAATAGTTAGCAAGAATGAGAAATCAGAATAGTCCAAAGCCACAGCCCTGAGCACTCCTTGACAAATGCCATTTACTTGAAAGGAAGTATTGAAGAATATGAGTACAGATTGCTTATCCAGTTGCAAATCTGACTGCACTCACATTAAAATACCAGTTCTCTGACTTGTCCACAAGGATATCAGGAGAGAACTCTTCTTGTTTTACCTGTTTGTTTTTCTTGAGGCCTTGCTGAAAATCATATACAATGTCTATAATACCCACTTACTTATTTAACTACAGATGTTTTTCTTGTACATTAATTCAGAATATTGGTATTATAAAATATTCAAGCATATAGACAAGAAGAGAGAATAAATATAATAAACCATGTATCTCTTTACCTGTTTTATCAAATATTCACATTACATGTTTGCTTCAGAATTATTTGTTTCTCTTTAAGAAATGAAATATTACTAGTACAGTTGGGGTACCCTGTGTCCCTTTCTCATCATGATTCCAGAGTTGATCACTCTCATGCATGATTCATAACTACATATGCACTGTATCTATAAATATTATATATTGATTTTGTAGGTCTTTAAACTCTATCATACTACAAATATTCTGAAATTTGTAATTTTAACATTTTGAGGACTATGTATGATAATGAACATAAGTGCTAGTTCATTCCTTTTTGTG